AAAATAATTAATTGAATAATCAGGAAATTAATTGAATTAAAATAATTAATTAATTAAAATAATTAATTGAATAACCAAGAAATTAATTGAATTAAAATAATTAATTGAATAACCAAGAAATTAATTGAATTAAAATAATTAATTGAATAACCAAGAAATTAATTGAATTAAAATAATTAATTGAATAACCAAGAAATTAATTGAATTAAAATAATTAATTGAATAACCAAGAAATTAATTGAATTAAAATAATTAATTGAATAACCAAGAAATTAATTGAATTAAAATAATTAATTGAATAACCAAGAAATTAATTGAATTAAAATAATTAATTGAATAACCAAGAAATTAATTGAATTAAAATAATTAATTGAATAACCAAGAAATTAATTGAATTAAAATAATTAATTGAATAACCAAGAAATTAATTGAATTAAAATAATTAATTGAATAACCAAGAAATTAATTGAATTAAAATAATTAATTGAATAACCAAGAAATTAATTGAATTAAAATAATTAATTGAATAACCAAGAAATTAATTGAATTAAAATAATTAATTGAATAACCAAGAAATTAATTGAATTAAAATAATTAATTGAATAACCAAGAAATTAATTGAATTAAAATAATTAATTGAATAATCAGGAAATTAAAATAATCAAGAAATTAATTGAATTAAAATAAACAAATTCATTGAATTAATTGAATTAAACAAATTAATTGAATTAAAATAAACAAATTCATTGAATTAATTGAATTAAACAAATTAATTGAATTAAAATAAACAAATTCATTGAATTAATTGAATTAAACAAATTAATTGAATTAAAATAAACAAATTCATTGAATTAATTGAATTAAACAAATTAATTGAATTAAAATAAACAAATTCATTGAATTAATTGAATTAAACAAATTAATTGAATTAAAATAAACAAATTCATTGAATTAATTGAATTAAACAAATTAATTGAATTAAAATAAACAAATTCATTGAATTAATTGAATTAAACAAATTAATTGAATTAAAATAATTAATTGAATAACCAAGAAATTAAAATAAGAAAAAAAATAATTGAATTAATTGAAAAAAAATTAATTTTAAAATAATTAAATTAATTTTAAAAATTAATTTTTGCGAATTAAAAATTAATTTTAAAAAAAAAATTGATTTGAACAGAGAAGAAAATTAACCACGAAAATTTGAATTAATTAAAAAAATTAATTGGTTCGATCGACAGTGTTCTTCAAGGCCAAGTCGAACAAAGATGAAGAACAGTCGACCAAGACGAACAGGAAAGTCGAACAAACAAAGAAAGAACCAGATGAAGAAGCCTCACCTCGATTCGATTCGACTTCGACTTCGACTTCGGCAGACGCAGACGCAGACGCAGACGCAGACGCAGACGCAAACGCAGACGCAGACGCAGACACAGACGATCGACGAATCAGATGAAGAAGAAAGGAAGAAGACCAGAAGAAGAGATTCGACTTCGGCAGACCGATCGACGAACCAAGTCGATTAGGGTTTGGCTTCTTATTTACTAATTAGCTTTGTCGATCAAGGGCCCAGATGATTCGAACGAAGTCGAATCAAGGGCCCAGATCACTCGAACTTAAATCAGGCAAAATACAATGAAGCTTCGCTTCGTTCTGCCTCACGCTTCATCGCCTAAGCCTCGCTTTAGGCGCTTCTACATCGCCTCGCCATTTCGCCTCGCCTTAGTACACCTGAGGCGCTGAAGCCTCGCTTCGCCTCGCTTAGCGCTTAGGCGAGCGCTTAGGCTCGCCTCTGATAACACTGAGTTTGAGTTTATGCCTGGCAGGTTAACAATGGGAGCGATCTATCTTTTGAGAAGAGTAATAGAAAAGTATAGAGAAAAGAAAAGAGACATTCATATGGTGTTTATCGACCTTGAGAAAGCATATGATAGAGTGTCCCAGAATATAATATGGTGGGTGTTAGCAAAGAAAGGGGTGACAAAATGTTACATTGATGTGATTAGGGATATATATGAAGGGGTGGTGACCATTATTAGATTACTTGCTGGAGAATGAATTTCCTATCACTGTACCTTAAGTCCTTATCTTTTTGCTTTAGTTATGGATGAGTTGACGCAAAATATCCAAGATGACGTGCTATGGTATATGCTTTTTGCAGACGATATAGTGCTAGTAGATGAGACTACAGAAGGAGTTAATACAAAGTTGGAGATTTGGAGAAAAGCTCTTGAATCTAAAGGATTCCGGATTAGTAAAACTAAGACAGAGTACATGGAGTGTAAATTTAGTAATAGTAACAATGAAAGTAGAGGAGAAGTGAAGATTGAGAATCAAGAACTGCCTAAGAGTGAATATTTTCGCTATTTAGGGTCGATTATCACAACAGTGGGAGAGATTGACGCGGATGTGGCCCATAAGATTAAGGCGGGATGATATAAGTGGAGAAGTGCATCTGCGGTACTGTGCGATAAACGAATACCCACTAGACTTAAAGGTAAGTTCTATAGAACGGCTATTAGACCAGCGATGTTGTATGGGACGGAGTGTTGGGCAACCAAGAAACAACATGTAGATAAGATGAGTGTGGCTGAGATGAGAATGCTAAGGTAGATGTGTGGCAAAATTAGACAAGATAGAATTAAGAATGAGTATATTCGGGAATGGGTAGGAGTAGCACCGATAAAAGATAAGTTGAGAGAGAATCGATTGAGATGGTTTGGTCATATTCAACAGAGACCAACAGATGCAGTAGCGAGGAGATGCGATACTGTAACGGTAGATGGAAGTGTTAGAGGACGAGGTAGGCCTAGATTAACGTTGGTTAGTGTTGTAAATAGAGATATGAATCTACTTAATTTGACTAACGCAATGGCCTTTGATAGGCTACGTGGAGAAGAAAGATTCATGTAGCTAACCCCATTTTATAGGACTTAAGGCTTGGTTTGGTTTGGTTTGGTTTGGCTATAGGTTTCAAAGAATCCAGGACAAAATCAAATGCAAACAAGCAAAAGAAGTACACATTATGCTCCGCTTGTGAAGTTTCAACTGATAGAAGGCAAAAAGATGTGTCAAAAATAGCATCAAGAGTTAATGGAGCCAACTTCTTGCCTTACAAAATATCCTCCAAAAAATGCCCAATGATACATGAAGTGGCTTGAATATTGCAAAACTAGTACTACAAAACTAAATAATTAAATGATTAATAAAAAGTTCTCCACCATGGAAAACTTTTCTAGGATGAAGATTTTTTTAAACAAGTCAAAATACAAGGATTCTATAGAAAGAAAGGTTTTGGTATTGTCATGAATTTCCGTTTCTAAACCATTGCCTTAAATGCACCATACAACATGCACTGACAATTAACTGAATCACAGTGAAGCATATGAAAAAAAAGTAATTGATTAAAGCTCCCCCAGTTGCAAAACATTACTATAGCAACAGCACAATTAAACAAAAATGTAATTGCCAGGCAATACTTTCTAAAAAACTTATAAAAGAACTGGAAAGAGAAATTACATAGGTGCTTGTACCAAACTTGGCTCTTATGATCCAGAAAAGCACAAGCATATGCATCCTTACAGAATACTTCAAGAAACTTCTCCTGCAATTGAAAAATAAAATGAGAGACGTAATAAGAATATGATGGCAGCACAATCAATAGTAATGGTCAAGGAAAAGGGAACCAATCATAGAATAGTATCAATCATATAGAAACATCAGACATAATTTCCAAGAAATTCCCACCAGTGCATCATTGCTGGTGCAATGGTAAAGCTCCGGCTGCCAAGCATGACAATGTGAGTTCAGGTCTAATGGCAGCCGGTTCATGCAAAGCATTGAAACATAATTTCCATGAAATGGACGTCGAAACATTCACAGTAATCATTCCTCTTAACAATTACATTGTGTCTTTGCTTATATATCCAACCTTTTTTACTAAGTAGTTTCCTCCTATACATTCAGGTTGTTTTTTAACAATTTTTTTGTGCTGTTGTTTGGTGCAATGGTAATGCTCCAGCTACCAAGTGTGACAATGTAGGTTTCAAGTCTAAAGGCAACCGGTTCATGCAAAAAATGCAAATTAATGAAACAAGATTTCCATGAAAAGAAAGTCAAAAAATTCACAATAGTCATTCCTCTTAACAATTATATTATATGCCTTTGATTATATATCCAGACTCTTTTTACTCTCTTGACTAGTTTCTCCCTGTTCCTTCTTATATCCAATTCTTAACCTCGAGACCATTCCTAATCAAATACTTGATAGAATCCCTATATGATCAAGCAAGAATATAATATTAAAAATGAGCCTCTTACCAAATTGAAAACAAATTAAAGAAATAAGCTACTTTTCTTTTTCTTTGCTTTATTTTTCAAATATTTAATATATGAATTCTTAAGCAAAAGTTGTTATCTTCTTAGAACTTTGTATTTGGGATTCTATATAAGCTCATGACAATACTTATTATCTGAGTGCAAATAGCAAATATCCCCAAGCAAAAGAATCTCTATTTTAACCAATTTTGGGGTTCCTCATTCTAGTGTTGTTTTCTAATCTACTCAACATTTTAACCGTAAATGGAAAATATTTGAGGCCTAAAAACTTGCAAAAGAAACAATTCGATGTAAAATCCCAAAGCAGGGTAGTTATGAGTCTTACAATTTACAAGTCCAATATTGGCAATTACAACCTAACTTGAAAGCGAGACCCAAAGAAGAATATCATGAATGAGAGAAATCAAAGTTAAATCACTAATAACCCTCAAGTCGATCTCGATGCACAGATATACTTCTTTTTCGGATTTTGATTGGAATCTGAAATTTGATTTTCTCCCTAAAATCAAAAAACCAAACAATACCTTTTTTTATTTTATTTTAATGTAGCTTCCCAGTACGCTTTTCTTGAACATATATATGTTCTGAGATTAAATATCCACAAAAAGAAAGTTATAATTCTTTTCCCACCTATCATCACAAGATTTTCCTTCAAATTGCATCAGACTGTAGTATTTTCACAAAGTCTAATAAATGCACATTCAAGATCAATGAAGAATTGATACAAACATCTACTTTGCATAACCATCAAAACACAAAATTGGGCATACCGAAGCTTTGTTGATGAGAAAGACGGCCTCTTGACTGATTCGAATATCAGGATCCTCGCTCTTCACGATCCGACTGATTCGATTCATCGGAAAGCAATGAGAAACATCACTACTACTCTCATTCTTCTTATTTTTGCCATACTTACTCTTCTTCTTCTTCTTTGTCGCGCCGTTTTTCTCTTTTTCATCGCCATTTTTGGCTTTGTTGATGCGCTGATTCGTGATTCCACTGCTCTTCGCATCTTCTTCTTCATCTTCCTCCTCATCTTCGTCGGTGTCTTGAACTTGAAGAGCTTCATCTACTTCGTCTCCGTCATTGTTTTTGGAATCGACACTCGAATCCGATACAACGAGAACTTCCGGTTCGTCCTTGTTATCATTGTCCGTGCCATTACTTGTATTAGTCTTCTTCTTCTTCTTGGTGTTGTTGTTCTTGCCATTATTGCTGTGAATCTGAACCTTATCTTCCATTTTCGCCCCTTTCTTTCTGCTTGTATCTGCCATTTGGTTGCCCTTCGCCATCTCTCTCACTCACTCTCTCTCTATCTCTCTGCGTTTCATTTTGGGGATGTAGGGCACAGTTTAGAGCAGAGTTGTTTTGGGCTTGGTGGACATACATATTTGGGCCTCACTACTGAGTCAAGTTTGTGGGCCTATAAACTACAACAACTTACACTTTAGCCCATTTTGATGAAAATTGCTCTGAGAAGCAACTCCTAATTTGGTTGGAAAATTTGAAAAAGAATTTGGGATGAAAAAAAGAAAAGGTATGTGAAATATGAATAACATAGACATATATTTCATATTATTTCACACGCTTTTTCTTTTTTCCTTTCTAAATCTCTTCTTAAATTCCCTAATCAAGCACAGCATAGGACAAAAATAATAATAAATACAGTTATGTTAACATGGGTGTTGTAATACATGCTGGTTTTGAAAAATAATAAATAGGGGCGTGTTAGCATGTGTTGTTACAATATATGTCGGATTAAAAAAATTGTATATTCTTTTATTATAGTCACTTTTATGTAAAATAAATAAATCTATTTAAGAGAATTACATCAAATTAGTCAATCAATTATGTAAAAAAAATTAACAATACATATGCACAAGCCTAACTTTAACAACAATTACATTAAAACAAGAAGAAAAAAGGGAACTTTATAATTACAAAAAATAAAATAAAGAACTAAAACAATTCTTAATAAGAAATAAATAATCAATGTTTCAGTTGCTAAGAATTAACCTCCTGACTTGTGGTCTCCACTATTTCTAGTCAGTTTTATATTGAAATAAAAAAAATGAAATGATTCACAATCAAAATTTTATAGAAAAAATTTATTGAAAATAATAATCAGTGTGTTTGGTTTTATTTTTCTGAATTCAGTTTTTTAGAAATTGTGTTTTTTGCTTTTCTTGTTTTTTGTTTTTAGTGAATATTTTTAAAATTTTAAGTAATTTTTTTACTTTTTTAGATGCGCCTTACTTAGATGTATCTAAATAATAAAATATTTGTGAAAAAATATTTTTAAAAATTAATAAATACACAAAAATATGAAAAATGTATTGACTTCTTGTTTTTGTTTTTGTTTTTTTTTTGTATTTTTGGTATTTAATGAATTTTTAAATATTTTTTTCACAATTATTATACTTTAAGTGTATTTATGTTAGGTGTGTCTAAAATTTTTTTTAAAAAAATTGCTTAAGATATTAAAAAAATTCAATGAAAACAAAATAAAAAATACGAAAAATAAAAAATAAATTTTTTTAAAAAGTGATTTCTAAAAACTAAAACCAAACAAACTGTGAATATATTTAAAATTTGAGTTTTTCTTGACTTCCTTGACTTGGAAGAAAATGATTACATAATCATTTTGTTTGAAAATTTAAAATTTTGTTGGTAGATGATTACTTGCTAGGGTAAATTACATTAGCACCTTTGATAAGGTGAGATCTCAATATGAGAGAATTTAAGAAATTTATAAAATTCATCATGAGTTTTATTTTGATAATTTAAATAGTTTATTTTGTCGGGTCCTTAATTTATATTATTTATAAAAAAAAATTAGTTCAATTCAATAATTGTAACATTCTCATTTTATTGCATTTATTTCTGAAAAAATAGATGACAAATATATTTTGAAATAGATCATTCATTTTTTTAGCAATAAATATAATAAAATAAAAATGTTACGATTATCAGATTGTCTTAAAATTTTTCATGAATAATATACATTGAGAGCTCTACAAAATGAACCATTCGGATTATTAAAACGAAATCCATGATGGGTCCAACAAGCTCCTTAAATTTTCTTATGTTGAGATCCTAACATAAGAAAAAAAGCCCAACCCTTTAAGGAAAATACAAGAAATTTCACAATATTTATATAATTACACCAACTTCCATTTTAGTGAGGTTAAAGACACCAAAATTATAATAAATATTATGACAACACAAAAAAAAAAAATGGACATTTTAGAATAAAAGAGATGACAACATTATTTTTTAATCTATATAACTAATGAATTATTGATAAAAATGAGATAAATATTAGTGAATCAAAACCGTAAAGAACCTTAATATAATTACATCAAAATTATAAAATTTATTATACTTGTTCAAAAATTTCAAAAGAAACCAATTTGTTTGAGAATTGACTTTCTTAATGAGTTTTTATCTTTTTACGAAAAAAACATTTTATAAAAAAAATACAAAATAAATAAATTAACTTTTATATTTATTTTTTAACTAAAATTTTCACTTGCCAAACGAGACAGTGTATTAAGAATAACATATGACATTAAATCAAAATGTGGAGTTCCAAGGCCGGATTATTTTAGAAAGTTGGTTAAAAATTAGTTTTTTATTTTTTTAAAAAAAAACATGTAAATAAATAAATAAATAATGTGATCCAAAATAAGTTAAAAATCAAAAAATAACTTTTTACTATCTTAAAATCACACCGATCCGCATCAATCCATACTGCTCTAACCGCTAACCGTGATTTAAACTGTAAAATTTGTTGGACAATCTTCATTGTATTTAAATTAATTAATTCTGTTTGGGTACTAAATGACAAACAGAATACAAAAGAAATATAGGAAAGGAGAATGAATGTTTGATTACAAAAATCAAACTAGAAAAAGAATTAAATAAATAAAATCAGATTTTATTTTGTTACAAAAACAAAATTAAAATCTGATTTAAATAAATAATAAAAATAGAAAAATAAATAAATAACTTACTTGATTAATATCTTGAATATTATTCTTGATCAAGTCTAGTATTTGACATTGTGTCCTTAAGACAGATTCGTCCTCTTCACGGTGCTTTCAGAATATGGATGTCTATCTCTCAGGATGAAATGATCAACAACAAATATATGCAGCACTACAAAATATTTGTACAACGAACACACTAAGTGTTTTATACTCTCTCTCACAAGGAAATAATGCAACAAAATGAAGAGCATGAATGCAGAATTTTATGGACGAAAATTGGAGTGAATCTGATCAAATGAGGGTTGGTCTATTTATACAAGTAATGGCATCCTTTCATTTTGAATTGAACAGGTAACATACCTGTTGGGTTTGAATTGGACAGATAACTGTTTGAAATTAAACATATTAGAAATCTGTTCGGGTAGAACAGTTACGGTTTGAATTTGTAAAGAATTTCTGAAGAGGTGCAAATAAATTTTTTTAGTATTGGGCTGGACAAGCCCAACCCAAGCTCACACCACGCACCCACGCCCAAGCCCAGACCTTGCCCAACCCAACCCGCTCGACCGAACGGACGGACGGACGGACGGCGTGCGCACGCGTGTGTGGTAATTTTTGGGTCCAATGGGTCTAGCCCATTTTGCCCATAACCTTCCTCTCTAAAACACTTGGGTACCCCTTGGGGCACACCCAAGTTCTAATTCCATGCCTTATAAACCTATTCAAAACTTCCCACCAAATCAATGTGGGACAAACCTTATTCAAACCTTTAAGGATTTTTCACAAAAACTTCATTTCCATGGAGCATACTTTGGCTTCAATTTCCCATTCACTCGGTAATGGTTTTGAGTAACCAAATATACCACATGAATCACAACACGGCATAGAATGCGTTACCACTTTAACCCGCCAAAATCGACACTCGGGTCCCATCTAAATAATAGACCAAAGTTAGGAAAAAATTCTGGTTTTACCCATAATTTTCCAACCATTTCCAACAATCCCCCACATGAATGGAATTTGATGACAACGGAAATGCAACAATATGCAGACTTTATCAAAAGAGTATAAGTCGAAAATATCTTGTATCAGGATAGGTAGCTTTCGGTCTTGAACCTTCCTAGTGATAACCTATCAGCCTTACTAGCTAACCAATGGATGCGATGCCTTGAATTGTTCAGCCGTTTGTGTAAACCAAGACAATAGATTTCACACAAAATATCTTCTAACACATCGCGATTCTCACTGTTGTGTTCATTTTGGCCTTGAACGCTCCTGGTTATCATGAATGTTTCTGGAGAATTTAGCCTCTTTCATTTTCATAGAACCGGCCCCAGTTCGACACTCATATATGTGATTCTTATTGTAAGTATCTCTTTATACTTGTCTTGATTTTTGTACCTAAATCAAGATATAAGTAATCATTAAAAGCAAAGCTTATTCTTATATCCCTGCAGACAACACATGTTGCAACTATCACTCTCACCATAGGAATGGGTAGGGAATTTTAATCCCTTGGTGATTTCTGGCGAGCCATACATAAATTAGTTGTCCCTTTGAACTTAGTTCTTGGGATCTCCAGTCATATAAGTAGGGTTACCATTACGACGACTCTTATGTAATTGGTTTTAATCCCATTCCCTTCGATGAACTATACACTAGCTCTTTTGTCAAATCTTTTGTTAACGGATCCGCAATATTCTCTTTAGATTTTATATAATCTATTGAGATTATTCCATTTGACAACAATTGCCTTACGGTATTATGTCGACGGCGAATATGTCGTGATTCACCGTTATACATATAATTCTGTGCCCTGCCTATTGCAGATTGACTATCACAATGAATGCAAATAATTGGCACAGGTTTTGGCCACATTGGAACGCCTTCTAAGAAGTGACGAAGCCATTTTGCTTCTTCTCTTGCTTTGTCTAAAGTAATGAACTCGGATTCCATTGTGGATCGCGCAATGCATGTTGGTTTCGTGGATTTCCAAGAAACAGCAGCGCTTCCCAGAATAAAGACATATCCACTTGTAGATTTTGAATCTTTAGTATCCGATATCCAATTTGCATCACAATAACTTTCAAGTACTGCTGGATATCGAGTAAAGTTCAAAACCATGATCACGGGTGAATCTCAGATATCTAAGAACCCGAATGATTGCCTTCCGATGGTCTTCTCCGGGGTTACTAGTGTACCTACTCAATTTACTGATAGCATAAACTATATCAGGACGAGTACAATTCATTAGGTACATTAGACTTCTAATGATTTGGGACTATTTTAACTGAGACACTGCATTACCTTTATTTTTCGATAAATAAAGACTGATGTATACAGATGTTCTAGCTACAT